CTGATTCCAACCACATTTCACCCAGGGACCAACACCAAGGGGTGGTCCTCTGTGAGGCCGCGCGGCTGCCCAGGGCAGCTCCAACTTCGCGAAGGCGTCCAAGGCCATGCGCCTTGGACAGGGAGCGTTGCGGGGGATTTCCATGGGGCGAAGACTTCCTTCCCGGAGGTTTGGGGTGAAAAAGGGCACTGCACAAAGAGAATATCAAGGGGGGAGGGAAAGCAAAGAGCACATCTAGAAGTTGGGGGCTTCCTTTTCACTTGACCCCGTTGCCCAAGTTGCTGTGGTATCAAAAGGGGAGCCTCGTTTGTCCCCAAGAAGTCGCCGCCTGTTACATTGCCAGCCTGTCGCAGGCAGTTCATGGATGGTACCTTGTTTGCTTCCCTTTTAGCACTGTCCAAATGGCTGTTGCCGGATTTTAGAACATGCACCGGGATTGGATGCTGGGCCCCAGTTCGGAGATGCCAAGGCCCTGGCATGACTGGGGGCTGCAGGCAAAGCCCCTCACAGCTTAGCCATGATCTACATATACCGACATACAGCGAAACTTTAGCCTAGCCCCCTTCGCTTGGGCAAAGGGGATGTTGCTGTGCATACAGCCATCGTCTTCATTAGTCAGCAGTATTCCTTAGTTGCCCTGCCCTTGTTTTTTCCCCAAGTCCCACACTTAAGTGCAAAATTGAAGTTTCTAAAATGGCGACGGTAGAGTATTAACGTCTTTGTTCTCCGGTATTCCCTTAGCTGTGCAAACGTGTGCATTTGCTCAGGAAGCTTCGGAGCATAGAACCGGCAGCACCAGTCTTTAGGTACAACTTGGCCATCGCCTACCGCGAGGGCTTGGGCATCGCCCAGGATGCCGAGCAGTCCTTCCAGTGGTGCAAGAAAGCGGCCCAGGGCGACCACCCCAAGGACCGGCGGATGTGTCCATGGAACAAGTGGGTGGCAAAGCTTGGCTAGAAGTGTTGGATATTCCTGGGTTGGATCTTCGACCTTTACGTTTTGGGGGAGCCGCTGTTCCTCGCAAACCGCGAACACTTAGACATGCAAACACCCTGGTCATTTTTGCATTGCGTGCAACTCATAAAGTCAAGCATCCCCTATCATCAAGCCATGCCGCGCTTCCAGAGCATACTTGCTTTTCACCAAATATTTCTGGAAACGTATGCGCACCCATGACAAGGGGATGGCAGTCTTCTGAGCAAGCTGCGTGTGTCCCAAACTGGAAGTTTTCCTTTGGTCGTCCTTTCCCAGCCACCCCCGACCAGGGCATCAATACAATGAACCCCGTATGCGCACGTGCATGTTGTTCTTGCTGCAGCAGCCCAGCCATGGCCAGGCGATGTTCAACTTGGCTGTCGCCTACGGTCGTGGGGATGGCACGCCCGCAGACGCAGCGGAAGCGGCGCGATGGTACCGGGAAGCGGCAAGCCGAGGACATGTGATGGTGCCTTGGCCCAAATGCATGTGTCTGTGGACTGTCTCGGTGAGGCGTTGTTGTTGCTCTTGCCGTGTGTCGGATCTAATGATCTAGCGAAAGCCGTCCAGGCACCTCGTTGCACTAGCATGTGCGCTCACATATTGCATTTTTGCAATTCCGACTTGAGGGGTATAAACCAAAGGGCGGGGTGATCAAACAGCAGCCAGGGTCAATGGCTGAGCCCCATGCACGCGCGCAAAAACCTTGGCAGCTGCGCACTGAGGCGCAGTACAATTTGGGCTATGCTTACTTCGTGCCTCGCCAGCAGGGGGTGCGTTCTAAGATGAAGATCTGGGCTGAAAGGGAGCGTGTGAGCTTTGTGTTGTGCGTTTGTGGCATCATTTGCTTTTATGAGATTCGGTCAGACTTTGTGAAGCAGATTCAAATGAGGGTGTCATGTTTACAGTCTTGCTTGCAGTTGGCATGGAAAGCGACGGGGGCTCACAAGCAACATACCATTGCACAATACCCCTGCAAAATAAAAGAACCTGGCAAACGGCAGGAGGCTCACTAAAACAAACCAAATGACTCGTGTACGGGTGCAACACAGATAGTCACTTATTTTACTCAGCACGGGAATGATCCACGCCAGGGCACTGCCATCAGGTCTTGTGTTTGCAGTTTTGGTGGGAGGCGATGGCGGTCGCGAAGCCTTCGCCATGAGTTTGCAGCGAGGTTGGCGCCGGCGTGCCTCAGAATGAGTCCGCCTCCGCCGAGTGGTTCGTGCGTGCGGCCGAAGGGGGCAGTAGCAACGGCCTCTCAGCGGCACGGTGCTTGCGATTCAGTGGACGTGTCATTGCCAGACTTGGCATACGTATTTTGACTCTTTGCCTTGTTGGTTTTCGTTTGTTTCCGCTTTCAAGCAGCACACCATTAACTTTTCGAACGGGGGGCCTAAGTCATCTCAGCGTGAAGTGGCTGAAGAAGGTAACCCCAAAGGCGATCAGGAACTTACCGAACGGGAGTACCAGTCTGAGGCCCATTGACTACAATGCGGTGTTGTTATGTTTGGTTTTCAAGCAGCAGGAGAAGCGATAGTGTCACACTGCAACCACGAAGGGTAGCCAGCAGAAGAGTTGTGGAAGTGTTCTCAGCAAATGGCCGTGGTTCTGCCCGGGGCCCTAACCACAAAAAACGCGCTTGATTCACTACTTGGTAAAGCAAGTACTGCAAGCCAAGTCGCTCATGTGAGTCGAATGAGCGCCATTTGACGGGAGCTTCTATCAGGGCAAGTGATGACTGGACTGTACATCTTGCCACGTATTCAAAAATGGATTCCAGGAGAGGTGTGAAATGGCAACTGTTCATATTTGGAAATTGTGGCCGTTTGTTCTCAGAAGGGTGGATTGGAGGAGCTCCTGCAACAACTGACAATCTAAATCTAGACAATGACCATGGTTGCTGTGGTGGGCGCGAGCAGGTCCAGTCAAGATTGGCGTTCATTATTGGTCGAGGCGTCGATTTACATGTTACAATGGTTCATTCAATCGGGCTCAGCATGGCTAGCCATGTTTACCTTTGAGAATAGCCCCGTTTGGTCCTCGAGCTGATTCCTTGATCAGGAACGGGAGAATCCAAAGTATGTTTTGCAAACTTCGCGCCGTTGTCAGCCCAGTGAGTTACCGCTGGATTCGGTGGAATGTAGCGCATTTGCGCATTTCCAGTTGGACGGTGGCACCCTCTTACCATATTTTACCCTTTTCGGTGCCAGTTGACAATTGATAGGAGCCGAAGGGCTCGACAACTGAGCCCAAACGGTTGCTCCCCCCCCCTCCCCGTGACAGACAAGCCATTGGGCAAAGCCCCGTGCCAATGGGTTTCTGTTTCCCACTGCGTTCCCTATGTTTCTGCTTTTGCAGTTTTTACAGGTTGCCTTTCGGGCCAATTCAAAGCGAGTGGCCTTGGGGGGGTGATGTGCAACATGTCCCACTGGCAGCTGTTTTGGCTTTGCGCCTAGGCCAGTTCATGATGGGAGACTCGGCGTGGTGCAGGGGGCTGCTGACAAGAACCAAGGGAAATTGAATCGCTTCCCCCAATAGTTAAGACACCCCCTATGTTTAATAAATACTCGCACTGGGGGCCAAACGCTATTATTAACAGGGTAATTAGGGGTCAGATGGGCTCCCCCCCAGAAGCAAATGTACTCATCCGTTGAAACCGACTCGAGGCGTACGTTTGAAAGTACAAAGTTGGAAAGCTTCGTTATTTGATTGTAGTACAAACTCTTAAGAGGGAGTTTGGGTCTTGGAGTGCTCTTCACTACGACAGGCGTCGGGTTTGGCAAGCAATAAGCCAGCTTAGTATGCTTTAGCATTGGACAATTTTAGAAGAAGTATTGGGTACCCAGCGGCCTGGGAAAACCAGGCTTATTGATAGAGTGCTTGCTTTTATTATTATTAGGGGAAGCGGTTAATCCAAGAGCCCGGGGCATCCTGAAGCAGAAAAACTGTCTGACTTTGGGGGCAAAAAGCAAACAGGGTGCGGCCCTGAATTGGCGCGACACCAGTTGCTCAGTCGTTTTTGGGCGCCTGGTGTCTGTTGTGCGCCTCCTTGACGGTCTTTCTTTGGGCCCTTTGAAGGCGGCCAGATGTCCCAGCGAAGCCTGTCCGGGAGACATGAACACCATGGCGTTGGGCATTGTACCATAGACCGGCAGAGAATAGAATCCCAGCTATGATGCGGAATAGTTTACACGGTGCCTCCCCTGCTAATTTCAGACAATTACTGCCTTCACAGGTGTGCAATTGTTTGCGCGGCCCGACTGCTTCAATCCGTTACAGCCTCCACGCGCACGGAATGCGTGGTAGACGTACATTGGGTTCATGAATTCATCGTCTATTCACAATCTGCTGAGGTTGCCCTGCACACTGGCACGTTTGTTTTGCATTCACGCCGAAGCGTGCATGCTTTGGGATACGCAGCTCAAGATGTTCATTGCAGATTCTTTCCCAGGTTTTGCTGTACCCACTGAACACCTGGAGCCGGACCCATGCAAACATTGTTTGGACGATGGACATTGAAACAGATGCGCTTCTACCTGCACGTTGGTACATGTATTTGGGGGCTAACGGCTGAACAGCCGGCCATCGGGCAGTCTGATTCCGGACACTGGGCGATGCACAGGGCTTTCCCACTACTTAGATGCGCCCTGCAAAATATATGTAAACAACGCAGCATTTTCATTTTGCAACGTGTTCGGCAAAAGCGTGCCACTGAACCCAAGCAAAAACCTTAAACTCACTTTTCTGGAGCGATTTGAGCCGTTTCAATGACGAACATCGAATGTGACTGGGGATCAGTTAGCCCCATCTGCCAAAATCACACAAAAAACAAACACTGTGTTTTCAACGTTTTCGCCAAAATGACGCCAAGCTGGAACCACGCCGGGCACCCCCAAAACACGATTTCAGCCTCTGCGAATCCTCAACCCCACATCAGCCACAGTTCCAAGAAGTTTGGCGCACAATGTCGGAGGTAGGGGGCGCCTAGCCGAAAAAAGCCTCAGACGATTTTATACGATATGGAAATAAAGTCATGCCATCCGTAGCGTCCCGCAACGCATTGAGGTCAACATCATTGGCACGGAAGTGTTGTGCGGTTGCGTAAAGGCATGTGGACCCGGCGGGATGTTGCCCTTTGGCTACCTCCACGCAAGAGTGTACCATATACAAGCGGAGCTTGCGAAAACTTCCCGCAAGGTGTACTTCTCCAGGATTCGCTAACCTACTGGTGTTGATTGCCCCGAGACAGGCCTCGGGCCAAAAGGCCCACAGATAGGCCTTCCTTTGGCCGTGAGTGCCTGTTGCTGTCGCATTTCGGCTTCGGGCAGCTAGTTCTCCGACCTCGAAAAAACATCTTGTAGCTGCTCGTTTATTGTTTATGAGCCATGGGATGCTCAGCAAGCGAGTTCGAGGCTCCTAACAGGAGTGGGAAGGAGATGAAGCACAGCCTCGATGGGAGCGAGGCAGGCTGATCAGTGTAGAGCCTTTCGGTTTTGGGCGCGGCTCTTGTTTGATTTGTGTTTGGGCAAGCTGAGCCTTAATGCGACGGGCTATCGGTTATTCCCTGCTGTTGCATTGGTTTTATCGCTCGTGCATGTGTCAGTTGCGGTCAAGTTGAGTGAGTCGGCCCACGTCATTCAAGTTGACATGTCAGGCGAGCCAAAAGACGGAGGCATGGGGGAACATCGACCCCGCAAGCAGCTGGAATATGACACAGCGCCCCAGTGCGCCTGTACCAGTTTTCCTTGCTCCAGACAAGAAGATGCACGACCGTCACTTGAAGAAGTTGGACAAGTTCCGGCAGGAGAGGAGGTTCTCCCAGAGAGATGGCCCCTTTCCCTTGCCATGGCACTGAGAGGCTCATGCAACTGTGTGTGTGTGTGTTTGTTCGCGTTAAAGGTTTTTCGGATTGTGGTTTGGCTTATTTGGGGTCTAGAAGGCCAACGACCATTTGATCTTTCAATAGCTGATGCTCGGCTTTCCAGGACGTGGAGAGGGATCCTGAGAGCCTCGCACGCAGAATCGAGAGGAAGCGCAGGGCGGCAAACATGCGAATCGCCCCAGCCTAGGCGCTCTCGACCATTTCCGTATCTATTCCTTTGACTGGCATGGCTGTGCCTGCTGTGCCCGAAGCCTTTCCATTTCTGTGAGCCAGAGAATGTGACAGTCAAAGGGGCCGCTTCAACTTCCCATCAACTTGAGTCATGGAATTGCGAGCGCTCCAGCTAGGCAAAGCACAGCCAGGCTTCATTTTGTGGCAAGTCTTCAAGCAGTATGCTACAAACGATAAGAATTCCTGGACTGCATTTTGTGGCCAGAGCACTGCCAGTGAATCTAGAAGTGTAGAATGACATTGCTTCCCATTGCTGCAGTCTTGTGATGTATTACCAGCGGGTGGTTGGCCACCCGGGAATATCAAGAACAGCCCCGTGCGGTGCATGCGCACGAGCTGATTGTCCGGGTGCCGCATGGCACGGGAGGCTCACGATTCGCGAACGCAAGACTCGTCGTCAAAGAAAGCCGGGTTAACCCTTAAACTCTCACAGGGAGAAGAGCCAAGAATTTGTTGCGACACAGCCCTGCACCATATCATTACTTGACCGAACGTCGCTACGTGGCTTCCACCGAAAATACATAAATAGAGCATCAAGACGTAGGTGGTTTGGCCTAGTCGCCTTCCCGCTGAGACAGCCAAGCGTTTCGGGTACACAGTCAAGGCCTTCAACACATAGAAGCATGAGGCGTGCATGACATTATTTAGCATGCGCAGCGAGTTGCAAACTGGCTGGACTGTTTCCCCATGCTTCTGTTTGAGCATTTCCTCCTCAATTTTTGCATGTTCGGCAGACACACTGCCATTTCAGGCAGCGCGCACGCCCGTGTGCAATGGCAGCGCGCGTGCAGCACGCGACAGGGTGGTGCGGCTTGCCTATCCGAGACATCAAGAATACATTTCGAGACATCACGAATACATCAGGAGCTTTGCCTGCTGGCTGGTTGAGCCGCCTGTCCCAATCCGAAGTTTCATTTTACAGACTCCACAGATAGGTGCATGGCCGTGCTATTTGCGTGGAAGACGCAGGAAAAAGGGCGGGGTCTGTGAAGGAGATGAGCGCACTTGCGCGTGGGAATTGTGTGTTGTTTGATACTGTTGGCTGCGCTGGTTTCACTGAAAGAGGAAATGCTTTTTCCCGAATGCCCAGCCAAGGGTTCTCGTTGTTAAAGTGGCCTGGGGTAAGGACGTGTTTGCAAGACGTGTCACGCCAACAAGCGTCCGACGTGTGGAAGAAGTTGCCATCCTGTTGGAATTCCGCGTTGCGCCTATGCGTGAACCATATATTTTGCAACGTTGCGTGTCGGCCGAGGGAACAGCAATGCCGTTCGATTTGTGTTTCAGTGTTGTCGCTTGAGGCGTCTAGCTTGGCAGGAGCGTGCAAGCGTGTTCGCGGCAATCGGTTCTTGTAAGCGAGCTTGAATCTGTCAATAGTGTTCGAAACCAAGCTGGCGCTACAGTCGCGTGTT